TACTTAGCATGATACATTAGAAGCATTGGTTGAACTCAGGTCTTATAATGCTAAGCCCAATGTTCTGTTCCTTTTTTTTTTTTGAGGGAGGTTCTTGCTATGTCACTCAGGCTGCAGTGCAGTGGCTCCATCTTAGCCCACTGCAACTTCTGCCTCCCATGCTCAGGTGAGCCTCCTACCTTGACCTCCCAAGTAGCTGGGACTACAATCACGTATTATTACGCCTGGCTAATTTTTGTGTTTTTTTGTAGAAAAGGGGTTTTGCCACATTGCCCAGGCTGGTCTCGAACCCCTGGGCCTATATTGGCCTCCCAAAGTGCTGAGATTACAGGCATAAGCCACCATGTCCAGCCCAGTATTCTTTTCATTGCATCTCTTCATATGGCATTTGAATGTTGAGATACATGATACAAACCAGATTTTTGGAGTGTGTAATAAAGAAATGGTTACTTCTTGCCTTTAGGAAGTTTATATTCCAACTAGGAGAGACTGACTGACTATATACCATGTAGCAAAATGTACTTCAGTTATTTAAAACAAACTGTTAACAGGAAAGAAAAGATGTAAGGGATAATATAGTCAAATAGAAAATAGGTAATAATTAATTAGACAAGATTTTTGAGTAAAGAGTTTAGATTGTAAATCTTTACTATAGGAAGAAGATGATGAGGTGTCAAGGATAGTGTTATTTCAATGCACAGAAAATAACTTAAGGGAAAACTTAGCTAAAGGAACATAAAATGTAGGGTTAGGGAAGGGTTTTCAAGGCTTATTTTTATTTTTTAGATGGAATCTCCCTCTGTAATCCAGGCTGAAGTGCAGTGGCATGATCTTGGCTCACTGCAACCTCTGCCTCCCAGGTTCAAGTGATTCTCCTGCCTCAGACTCCCAAGTAGCTGGGATTACAGGCACCCACCACCACACCTGGCTAATTTTTGTATTTTTAGTAGAAGTGGAGTTTTTGCCATTTTGGCCAGGCTGGTCTCGAACCCTTGACTTTAGGTGCTGCCCACCTCAGCCTCCCAAAGTGTTGGGATTACAGGCATGATCCACCACGCCCAGCCTTCAAGGCATATTTGAAATGATGGGGACAGGATAGAGGTGAAGGAAGAGATGTGAATAAATACACATCTGCCGTAAAGAGTTTATAAACCAATGGTTAGAACTTTTATATTATTTTGATGATTCAGGAAATCTCAGTGCCATGATTTCATTGGGACTTGAGTAGTGTGGCAAAATGGAAGGTTGAGAGGGCTGGAGAGGAGACTATAAATGAGGAACAATGTAATGGTGGTTCCTGTTGTGAAATGATTAGAGACTCGGTAAGGAATTTGACTGTGAGAAGAGCAAGGAATAGGTGGTATTATTAAAAAAAGTAGATTTTATTTTAATTAATTAATTAATTAGAGATTGAATCTTACTCTGTCGTCCAGGCTGTAGTGCAGTGGTGCAGTTTTGGCTCACTGCTACCTCCGCTTCCTGGGTCCAAGTGATTTTCCCACCTCAATCTCCTGAGTAGATGGGATGACAGGCGTGTGCCACCATGCCTGGCTAATTTTTGTCTTTTTAGTAGAGATGGGGTTTCACCATGTTGGACAAGCTGGTCTTGAAATTCTAACCTTAGGTGATCTGCCCACCTCGGCCTCCCAAGGGGCTTGGATTATGAGCCACTGTGCCTGGCCAGAAAATAGATTTTAAATTTTACAGTATGAGAAATCCTAATTGTAACAGGTCATTAAAATATTTTTAAAATAAAAAAATTGGCAGTTTACTTTCAGAAAATACCAATAGAAATAGGAAGAAATTAAGTATTATTAAAGTTCTACTGTACAATGAGAGGAAAAAACACGACAAAATGCTCTTTCAGGATAAAGGGATGGGGGAAATGAATGAGAAGAGAAAGACATCAATGTAGGTACTTTCTGGTGAGATGGGAAAAAACCATGGATATTGATAGGAAGGAGAAACACAGTTTAGAAAATGCTTGTCTAATTAAGGAACAGGAGATTTTTTTTTTTATGTTTTATTTACAGTTTGGGGGATTATGTGAAACATGTATTTCTTTACCCCAAGGTGAGCAGTGGAGAACTAATTATTCCTATAAACAAAATCATAGTGCTATAAGTGTCATACCTACATTGATTTATATACTGTTACTTTCTATGTATTCATAATATAATTAAATGTCTTGACACAACTGAGTTGCGAAAAGGTGCTCTTTGGCTCCTGGAATATGGAATAGCCTATTTTTTTTTTTTTTTTTTTTTTTTTAAGACGGGGTCTCACTGTGTTGGTCAGGCTGTTCTTGAACTACCGACCTCAGGTGATCCGCCCACCTTGGCCTCCAAAGTGCTTGGATTACAGATGTTAGCCACCATGCCCAGCCTGTTTTTTTTTTTGGAGACGGAGTCTCTGTTGCCCAGGTTGGAGTAGTGGCAGGATCTCGGCTCACTGTAACCATTGCCTCCCAGGTTCAAGTGATTCTCCTGCCTCCGCCTCCTGAGTAGCTGGAATTGCAGGCGTGCACCACATGCCTGGCTAATTTTTGTATTTTTAGTAGAGATGGGGGTTTCACCATGTTGATCATGCTGATCTTGAATCCTTGATCTCATGATCTGCCTGCCTCTGCCTCCCAAAGTGCTGAGATTACAGGTGTGAGCCACTGTGCCTGACCTTTTTTTTTTGAGATGGAGTTTCACTCTTGTTACCTAGGCTGGAGTGTAATGATGCAGTCTCGGTTCACTGCAACCTCCACCTCCTGGGTTCAAGAGATTCTCCTGTCTCAGCCTCCTGAGTAGCTGGGATTACAGGCACCTGTCACCATGCCTTGCTAATTTTTGTGTTTTTAGTAGAGACAGGGTTTCACCATGTTGTCCAGGGTGGTCTTACATTCCTGACCTCAAGTGATCCCCCCTGCCCCGCCTCTGCCTCCCAAAGTGCTGGGATTGCAGGCGTGAGCCACTGCACCTGGCCCAAATAGCCTAGTTTTATCTGACTAGATCTCATAATGATATTTATTAGGCTAGAATTCTGTGTGTATTGAAATGCATTACATGATACTACAGTTGTTAAGGATTCTTTTTGACAAGTCAAACTTATTGAGGTATAATTTACACATAGTAAAATTTATCTGTTTTAGGTGTATAGTTCTATGTAATTCTGATAAAACAGATGAATTATGAAAAACAGTGACATTTGTGTAACCACTGCAATTAAGTTATAAGAATATTTTTGTCACTTCAAAAATTTTCATAATTATGCCCTTTTGAGGTAAATCCCTTCTGCCCACTCCTCACTCCTGGCAACAGCTCATTTGGTTTTTATTCCTATAGTTTTTCCTTTCCCAAAATGTCATATAAATTGACATCACCCAGTGTATAGCCTTTTGAATCTGGCTTCTTTCATTTAGCATAACACTTTTGAGATTCAACAAGGTTTCTCTTTTTATCAATAAACTATTTTTTAGAGAGTTTATTAAAAAATCGTGAAGTTATGATTTATAGAAAGTTTGTAACTATAGTATAGAGAAATCTCTTAAACCCTGGACCTAATTTCTCCTATTTTTTAATTTACGTAAACTACTAATTTTTGCTAATTGTCAAACCTGCAGGGTTCTAGAATTAAGTTTATTGAAAATGGGAAACAGTGTGAAGATTTTGATCAAGATGATAACTTTTTTTTTTTTTTTAAGATGTAGTCTTGCTCTGTCACCTAGGCTGGAGTGCAGTGGTGCCATCATCTCAGCTGGCTGCAACTTCCTCTGCCTAGGTTCAAGCAATTCTCATGCCTCAGCCTCCCGAGTAGCTGGGATTACAGGCAGGCTCCACCATGCTGGCTAATTTTCATATTTTTATTAGAGATGGGGTTTCACCATGTTGGCCAGGCTGGTTTCGAACTCTTGACCTCAGGTGATCCTCCCACCTTAGCCTCCCAAAGTGCTGGGATTACAGGTGTGAGCCACTGCACCTGGCCCTCTAATGACTCTCATGGTGGTAAATTATATATAACATTTAATTCATTTTAACTGTACATTTCAGTGGTATTAATTGCAGTCACAATGTTATGCAGCCATCACCATTATGTACTTTCAAATTTGTTCACCATCCCAAATAGAAGAAACTCTGTACCTGTTAAGCAGTGACTATCCATTCCCTTCTTGAACCAGCCCCTGGTAACCACTAATCTACTTTTTTTTTTTGAGACGGAATTTTGCTCTGTCACCAGGCTGGAGTGAGGTGGTGTGATCTCGGCTCACTGCAACCTCTGCTTCCTGGGTTCAAGGGATTCTCCTGCCTCAGCCTCCCAAGTAGCTGGGACTATAGGTGCGTGCCATTGCACCCAGCTAATTTTTGTATTTTTAGTAGAGATGGGGTTTCACCATGTTGGCCAGGATGCTCTCAATCTCTTAACTTCGTTATCCACCTGCCTTGGCCTCCCAAAGTGCTGGAATTACAGGCGTGAGCCACCTTACCCGGCCTCTAATTTTTGTCTCTGTGAATTTACCTATTATAGATACTTCGTGTAAGTGGAATCATGTAATATTTGGCCTTTTGTGTCTGGCTTATTTCACTTAGTGTAATGTTTTCAAGGTTTATACGTGTTGTAGAATGTATCATTTTTATGACTTAATCATATTTAATGTACCACATTTTGTATTTTCATTCATTGATGGATACTACATTTGTTTTCACCTTTTGGCTATTATAAACAATGCTCTCTGAGTATTAGTATACTGTTTTCAGTTCTTTTTGGTATATATCTAGGAGTGGAATTGCTAGGTTGTGGTAATTCCACATTTAATTTTTTGAAGAAACACTAAAGTGTTTTCCAAAGTGGCTGTACCATTTTACATTCCTCTAGCAGCAAAGTATCCTTGCCACCACTTGTTGTCTTCTTCTTTTTTTTTTTTAGTTATAGCCATTCTAGTAGGTTCACTAGTGATATTGAGTATCTCTTCATGTGTTTATTTATAATAAGATGGCTTCTTTTCCTTTTTTATACTTTTTATGGAATGGTTCCCAATTTGCATTTCATCCTTGCACCGGGGCCATGCTAATCTTCTCTGTATCGTTTCAATTTTTCAGTATATGTGCTGCTGAAGCGAGCACTTTTTTCTTTTTTTTAAGATGGTGTCTTGCTCTGTTGCTGAGGCTGGAGTGCAGTGGTGCAATCTTGGCTCACGGCAACCTCCGCCTCCCGGGTTCAAGTGATTCTCCTGTCTCAGCCTCCCAAGTAGCTGGGATTATAGGTGCTTGCCACCACACCTGGCTAATTTTTGTAGTTTTAGTAGAGACAGTGCTTCATTGGCCACCTCAAGTGATCCACCTACCTTGGCCTCCCAAAGTGCTGGGATTACAGGCATGAGCCACCATGCCTGGCCTAAGGTGGCTTTTTTTTTAAAAAAAAAAAATGAGGTCTAGCTGTGTTGTCCTGTCTGGGGTACAATGGCTATTCACAGAGGCAATCAATGCAGTACAACCTTGTACTGACAGACTCAAATGATCCTCTGCCATAGCCTCCAGATTAGGTGGGACTATAGGTGCATGCCACCGTGCAGCTAATGGTAGCAACATATTGATGTTTGTTTCAATAATGGTCAAGACAGGGTGATATTAACATTTTAAAAAATGAAAAATATGGGTTTCATTGGGTATAAAAAAAAGAAAGAAAAATAATTGGACGGAAGCCTGTATTTTAAAAATCCCTATTATATGCTAAGCATTTTATTGTATAAGTTTCTTTTAACTCTGAAAACACTATATTATCTGTGTTTTACAGATGAGAAAACTAAAGACAAAGGGAGATCAAGTAATTTGCTTCAAAAATTACACTATGTTAACGTGGGGCCAGGCATGGTGGCTCATGCCTGTAATCCCAGCACTTAAGAGGTTGAGGCCGGTGGATCATAAGGTCAAGAGATTGAGGCCATCCTGGCCAATATGGTGAAACCTCATCTCTACTAAAAATACAAAAATTAGCTGGGTATAGTGGCATGCACCTGTAGTCCTAGCTACTCGGGAGGCTGAGGTAGGAGAATTGCTTGAACCTAGGAGGTGGAGGTTGCAGTGAGCCATGATTGCTCCACTACACTCTAGCTTGGCAACAGAGTGAGACTCCATCTCAAAAAAATAATAATAGTAAATGAAAAATCACAAAGTTGGTCGGGCATGGTGGCTCACACCTGTAATCTCAGCACTTTGGGAGGCCAAGGTAGGCAGATCACATGAGGTCAGGAGTTCAAGACCAGCCTGGCCAACATGGTGAAACCCTGGCTCTACTAAAAATAGAAAAATCAGCCAGGTGTGGTGGCACGTGCCTGTAGTCTCAAGGCTGAGGCAGGAGAATCAGCTTGAACCCTGAAGGTGGAGGTTGCAGTGAGCGGAGATTGCGCCACTGCACTCCAGCCTGGGCGACAGAGCAAGACTCCGTCTCAAAAAAAAAAAAAAAAAATCGGAAAGTTTATAACAGAGAAGTCTGATATTTGCTTGCTGCTACATGGTTCTTTCTTCTCTGTTATCACTGTTCTACAAAACTAAGAATTTTATCCACATGTTGATGTCATGTGAAAGCAAGACTTTTTGAGTCATAGAAATTGATGGAGTTTGGGGAAAAATTCCAGAAGCATTCATGTCAGTTTTTCATTATTTATCATTATTCACTATTGAGGGTTTCTCAGTTGCAACTCAGTTTTATCTTTTTTCTGCGTTAAGCTATGTTAAATGCAGGTGTATGTCGTAACATTTAACACAGAAGCCTTACTGTTATCTGTCATGTTGGAATTGGGGTGACGTCAAAGATTATTTAGTGATTCATGTCAAATGAATGAACAATGATGTAGATCAAAGTTCAGTAATTATCTCCACAAAGCAGTACTACTGTTGGGATTCTGAGTTAAATGAAAAACTGCTTGGTCAGCAAAATGTCTTTCAATAGGAACGTCCTGCTGTGACTGTATGCCCTTTACTTGTCCCCCTCCCTCATATGTATAGTGATAGACATATGTAGACGTAGAAAATTGTCCTGGTTGGATTCCTTAGTTGTGAATCTCTTATTTGTAGAATGTTGTTTCCAAGACCTGAAGGTGGGATAATGACTACTAATGTATATTAAACTGCAGTGCAACCATTGCTTTTTGTCAAAATAGAATTAAGTTCTTTATTAATGTGGTTGTAGTGCTTGTGCAGTGGATAGTTGTTTTAATAGACTTAGTATGGAGGCTAAAGAATGGAGTGGGGGCTGGCTGGGTGCAATGGCTTACGCCTTTAATGCCAGCACTTTGGGAGGCTGAGGTGGGTGGATCACAAGGTCAGGAGTTCGAGACCATCCTGGCTAATATGGTGAAACCCTGTCTCTACTAATAATACAAAAATTGGCCAGGCGTGGTGGCATGTGTCTGTAGTCCCAGCTACTCGGGAGGCTGAGGCAGGATAATTGCTTGAACTCGGGAGGTGGAGGTTGCAGTGAGCTGAGATCAAGCCACTGAACTCCAGCCTAGACGACAAAGCGAGATTTTATCTCAAAATAAATAAATAAATAAATAAAAATGGAGTGGGGGCCATGTGTGGTGGCTCATGCCAGTAGTCCCAGCACTTTGGGAAGCTGAGGCGGGTGAATCTCTTGACCCCAGAAGTTCAAGACCAGTGTGGGCAACATGGTGAAACCCTGTTTCTACAAAAATTAGCCAGACATGGTAGCATGTGTCTGTAGTCCCAACTACTTGGGAGGCTAAGGTGGAAGGATCACTTGAGCCTGGAAGGTGGAGGTTGGAGTGAGCCGAGATCATACCACTGCACTCCAGCCTGGGCAATAGAGCAAGACCCTGTCTCAAAAAAAAAAAAAAAAAAGAAGAAGAAGAAGAAGAAGAATGGTGTGGGAGCCAGGTTAGGCTCACCTTTTTTTCTTTCTTTCTTTTTTTTGGAGACAGAGTCTTGCTCTGTCACCCAGGCTGGAGTGTAGTAATGCGATCTCGGCTCCCTGTAACCTCCGCTTTGCAGGTTCACACAATTCTCCTTCCTCAGCCACCTGAATAGCTGGGATTACAGGCTCTTGCTACCACACCTGGCTAATTTTTGTTTTTTAGTAGAGACAGGATTTCACCATGTTGGTCAGGTTGGTCTTGAACTCCTGACCTGTTCCATCTGCCAGCCTCAGCCTCCCAAAGTGCTGGGATTATAGGTGTGAACCACCACACCCGGCCAGGCTCACCTATCTTTAAATGTGTGATGAAGCTTGGGAAGACTCTCCTCTTCATTTTTCCCATGGCTCACTCTTTCTTATGTCCAGGTTGTGGCTCCAATTTTTTTTCCCTGATACCTTATTAAAAATAGTAGCCTCCCCAACCAAATCATTCTCTCTCACATTACTGTTTTTTTCTCCAATTTCTTTTACTGTCTATATGTATAATTTTGTTTGCTTGTTTGAGTCAAATCACTTCTTAACATTTCCATTGCTGTTCCTAGTCCAAGTCATTATTCTAGATTTTTTCAGCTACCTGTTAATTGGTCTCCCAGTTTTCATTTTTGTTTCTTACGCCTATTTCCCACAGAACAATAGGGATCTTGAGCAGTGTAAAGCAGATCACATGACTTTCTGTCTGAAATTTGCCCTTGGCTTCCTATTATACCTAAAATTGAGTATAGTGCCCTCCTTCCTTGGAGGTATATTAAGTTTAATAATTTTAAAAAGCTTTTATTGATAGATGGAGATTTTAAGTTTTTTTTGGAGATATCTCTGATTTTTGGAGATATCTCTCTTAAACAAGTTAAGTTTAGTGATTTAACTTGCTTCTTTTTTTTTTTTTGAGACGGAGTTTCACTCTTGTTACCCAGGCTGGAGTACAATGGCGCGATCTCTGCTCACCGCGACCTCCGCCTTCTGGGTTCAAGCAATTCTCCCGCCTCAGCCTCCTGAGTAGCTGGGATTACAGGCATGCGCCACCATGCCCAGCTAATTTTTTGTATTTTTAGTAGAGACGGGGGTTTCACCATGTTGACCAGGATGGTCTTGATCTCTTGACCTTGTGATCCACCCTCCTCGGCCTCCCAAAGTGCTGGGATTACAGGCTTGAGCCACCGCGCCCGGCCTTTAACTTGTTTCTAATTGTTTTCTTTCTTTTCTTAATTCCAAATGTGATAGCTGTTTTTTTTTTCTTCTTTTTTTCTGAGCTAGCATCTTACTCTGTTTCCCAGGCTGGAGTGCAGTGGCGGGATCTTGGCGCACTGCAACCTCTGCTTCCCGGGTTCAAGCAACCTGCCTACTTTAGCCTCCTAAGTAACTGGGATTACGGGTGCATGCCACCATACCTGGCCAATTTTTGTGTTTTTTGGTAGAGGTGGAGTTTCACCATGTTAGTCAGACTGGTCTTGAACTTTTGACCTCAAGTGCTCTGCCCGCCTTGGCCTCCCACAGTGCTGGGTTTGCAGTGTGAGCCACCACACTGGCCATGTTTCTAATTTTTATAGAAAAATATATCACAGCCAGATCATGAAATTTAGGGATTGAGACCATGCTGGCCAACATGGTGAAACCCCCTCTCTACTAATAATACAGAAATTAACCAGGCATGGTGGTTGACACCTGTAGCTACTTGGGAGGCTGAGGCCGGAGAATCGCTTGAAAATGGGAGGCGGAGGTTGCAGTGAGCCGAGATCATGCCACTGTACTCCAGCCTGGGCAATAGAGCAAGACTCTATCTTGGAAAAAAAACAAAAAATAAATAAATCCCGTAAATTTGGAAAAAAGAAACTTTACAAGTCAAATTAGTATTATAGAAATCTAGGAGCTAGAATGAATCTTTTTTTTTTTTTGAGATGGAGTTTCATTCTTGTTGCCCAGGCTGGAGTGCAGTGGCACCATCTCAGTTTACTGCAACCTCTGCCTGCCAGGTTCATGTGATTCTCCTGTCTCAGCCTTCTGAATGGCTGGGATTACAGGTGTCCACCATCATGCCGGCTAATTTAGTATTTTTAGTAGAGATGATGTTTCTCCATGTTGGTCAGGCTGGTCTCAAACTCCCAACGTAAGGTGATCGCCCACCTCGGCCTCCCAAAATGTTGGGATTATAGGCATGAGCCACCACGCCCAGCTAGAATTATCATCCAATATCTAACAACTTTACATACTTTAGCTCAGAGAGGTGAACTGTTTTATTCAAGTTATAACTAATTAATAATAATAGGGCTGGGGAAAAAAATCTCAATTTTTCTTTTGTATTCTAACTCAGAGTTCTCATCATCTGTTAGTTTGTGATGCCTATTTAGCATTATTTTTTTCCTTTCCTGCCTCAGGTGTATTTGTACACATAGCACAGGAGGACCCCAACCCTATGCAGACAGCAGCCCTGGTTGGGGGTCGCAACAGTCCTTCTGGCCTCATGTTGGCAGACATATATCTATTCTGAAGACTTTGTAGGGGCCTGGGTACCCTTGGGAGCCTGAGCTGGAACTCAAGCTGGAACTGCAGCCTGGGCCTTGGTTTGATCTTTGGCCGTGGCCTTTGGCCAGCACAGCCTGAGCCCCTTGGCAATGTGGGCAAAGAACATGCTTCCCAAGCTTGGGGTGGGCAGTATAGGCAAGTCAATCGAGCTTGTCATTGACACCCTTTGGGATCTTGGGCTTAACCTCCTTGGGCTTTACGAGGGCCTTGATAGCCTCAGCACGTGCACTCATGGCCTTGGCATTGTTGGTCTGCATCTTCTTTAGGTCCTCCTTCTTGTGCTTCTTGGCAAAGCGCATGTTCCTCAGGAACTTGGGGTCTACCCTCTTAAGAGATTCGTATCTTTGTGATTGGGGTTTCTTAATACCATTTATGTGCCAGTTTCGGGACTGGTTGTGTTTGATGTGATTCTTGGTCTTGGCCATGTCTGCACCTTAAGCTGCAGCTCCTGAAGCACCTAGAACCGGAAGCTATATTTAGCAATTTTTTTATTTTTATTTTTTTCAAATACTGTATCAATAGAAATACCAGGTTTAACAAGCACAAAGCCAAGAAAACCAACGATGCCAGATACTGAATTTCTATAGCACTGACCTTTGAACACCCTAGCAGGAATAAACAGCTGAGTGCAGATACCATGCAGTGCAATATATTTAGCAAATTTTAAGTTGAATTTCTGTTAATGCCTTTATTTAAGAATAATTTTATTTTTTTAATTAAAGCAATTAATTCAAGAAAATAATTTTCAAATATAAAACTTGGTAGAATAACAAAGCTGATTTCTAAGGAAATCTTCAGGGAATTTCAGTTTCTAACTATGGGTAAAAACCTCTTATTTCAGGATTAGTTTTTATTGGAAGAATGTCTTAGTTCATTTTCTGCTACTGTAACAGAATACCACAGATTGGATACTTTATAAAGAAAATAAATTTATTTGGCTTACAGTTTTGGAGGCTGGGAAGTCCAAGGGCACGGTAGTACTAGCATCTGCTTGGCATTTGATGAGGGCCTTCTTGCTGTGTCATAACATAGTGCAAGTGAGCACATATGACAGAGAGAGAGGAAATCTGGCTCAACTCATCCTTTAATTAGGAACTCATTCCCACAGCTATGGCATTAATCCCACAAATATGACATTGTATGAGTGTACTCCCACAATTATGGTCATGAGGACTATGCCTTCCTGACCTAATCGTCTCTTCAAGGTCCCAGTTCTTAATACTATCACAATGGCAATTAAATTTCAACATGAGTTTTGGAGAGAACATTAAAACCATAGTTGTTTTCATAGTTACCACATAATAATTGGCTGAATGTTCAAAGTCAAATAATGTATTTGCTATAAAAGGCTGACGAGTGATGAGGTTTCGATAACAGTTGTTTGTAGCCAGGCATGGTGGCTCATGTCTGTAATCCCAGCACTTTAGGAGGCTGAGGTGGGCAGATCACTTGAGGTCAGGAGTTTGAGACTTTTGTGGCCTACATGGTGAAACCCCGTCTCTACCAAACGTACAAAATTTAGCTGAGTGTGATAGCATACACCGGTAGTCTGAGCTACTTGGGAGGCTGAAGCATGAGAATCACTTGAACCTGGGAACAGAGACTGTAGTGAGCTGAGATCTCACCACTACACTCCAGCCTGGGTGCTAGAGCAAGACTCTCAAAAATACAAAGCAAAACAGTTCTTTTGTGGGGATTCTTTGTAGTTGTTAGACCAAGAGCTATTATTTTTTTCATATGTTAAAAGAGTTGTATAAAATATGAGATGGAGATGTATAGGATAGTAATGTAGCTTATTCAGCTTGTTGAATGAAGTCTCTTGTTCTGATTTAGATTGAACCACAATGTTGGATTTAGCTTGGAGAATATAACTTTACTATATCAGCAATATTCCCCAAAGAGCAAGCGTGTCAACTGTAAACACATGATTAAACAAATAATAGGAGGATTCATGCATTTTTTTAAGCCCGAATTATTAATTAATTAATGTATTTATTTATTGAGATAGGGTCTCACTCTGTAACCCTGGCTGGAGTACAGTGGTTCAATCTCAGCTCACTGCAACCTCTGCTTCCTGGGCTCAAGCTTTCCTCCCACCTTAGCCTCCTGACTAGCTGGGACTACAATCATGTACCACCACACTGGCTAATTTTTGTATTCTTTTTTTTTTTCCTTAGTAGAATCAGGGTTTCCTTATGTTGCCCAGGCCAGTCTCAAACTCCTGGACTCAAGCAATCTGCTCCCCTTGACCTCCCAAAGTGTGGGGAGTATAGGCATGAGCCACCACACCCAGCGAAGCCTGAACTTTTAGCTAGCTTTCATCATTAAATGAACCTACAGCTTTTATGGAGATCTGCACCGAATTAACTAAACTACAAAGTTTGAGCATACAGTCTTCCATAAGACCACTTTCACTTCTGACACCAACTGCAAGTCTTTGGGAGCTGGGGAGGTTTGATACTTACTAAAAAGATGCTAGTAGAACTCACTGCTAAGAGCTATTATGATCATGGTTACAGTTTTTTTCAAGAAAAGGATACAGATTAAAATCAAGGCAAGGAGCCCATAGACCAAAGTTCAAGAGGGTTTCAAATGTTGAAGCATCTGTTGTTCTCTCCCCATTGAGTCAGAATGTGTTACTACTCTCTCGATATCAATATGTCACAGTATGCATGAAGTACTGCCATCCAGGGAAGCTCACTGTGCTTCAGTGTCCAGATTTTCTTTCTCTCTTTTATTTTTTATTTTTTGAGACAGTCTCGCTCTGTGTCCCAGGCTAGAGTGCAATGGTGTGATCTTGGCTCAATGCAATTTCTGCTTCTCTGGTTCAAGTGATTCTCTTGCCTCAGTCTCCTGAGTAGCTGGGATTACAGGAATGTACCACTATGCCTGGCTAATTTTTGTATTTTTAGTAGAGACAGGCTTTCACCATACTGGCTAGGCTGGTCTCGAGCTCCTGACTTTGTGATCTGCCTGCCTGGGCCTCCCAAAGTACTGGAATTACAGGCATGAGCCACTGCTCTCGGCCTTCAGATTTTCAAATTAGGACTTCATTTAATAGGCATGTTTGATTGATGGATTGCCCACATAGTTGAACTCAGTCTCCAGGTTGGATTCAGACTGATACCAGGTGACCCAAAGTCTCCATTCTAAATCACATGTTGGCCTTTCTAGTTAGTCAGCCTTGCCCAGAAAGACACTCCTATCAGGTATGACATAGATTACTTCTCAGGAGCAGAGGGCACCTGTCTTTGGGCAAGGCTAAGTTCTTTACTAGATAGGATGTAAAATTAAAACTTACCTCCATGGTTTCTTTAGGAACAAACTCTCTAGAAAATAGATGGATTTGACATAACTCTGTATATTAATAAGAACTGACATCATTTCTTTCAAGTAGTCATTTAAACTATATTACAACCTCATTAGGTGAATCCTCTGGTAGATTTTTATCCTGCGTGGGCTTTACTGAGCTTCTTGGTTTTGTCTGATGTCTTTCTTCACTTGTGGAAAGTTCTTGGCCATTTCCTTTTAAAACATTTCTTCTGTTTCATTCTCTCTCTTCTCCTTCTTGGACTCCAATACATTACATTAGACCATTTGAAATTGTCCCATAGAATTTAGACATGCTGTTATATCCCTTTCCCTGTTCTTTTTTCGTTTCAGTTTGGATATTTTCTATTGATCTGTCCTCAGGTTTACCAGTCCTTTCTTCTGCTAAGTCCCCATCTAATTAATTATTGATTTTGAATATATTTTTCCTTTCCAGTATTTCTTTTCTATAGTTCCTATTACTCTGTTGAAATGCCTCATTACTTCATACATATTATTTGCCTTTTCTACTAGATCATTTAATACATATATACATTTGAGACGGAGTCTTGCTCTGTTGCCCAGGCTGGAGTGCGGTGGCACGATCTCGGTTCACTGCAATCTCTGCCTCCCTCATGCCACTACACCTGGTTAGTGTTTGTATTTTTTAATAGAGGTGGTGTTTCACTATATTGGGAGGCTGGTCTTGAACTCCTGACCTCAGGTGATCCACTCTCCTTGGCCTCCAAAAGTGCTGGAATTACAGGCATGAGCAACTGTGCCTGGTCTGTATACCAGACAACTTCTATAAAACAAAAGGAGAACCTGAGGTTTACTTATTTTTTACTTAATATTTACCTCCAAAATGCCATTTATTCTGTCTGGCCACTAAATTGAGTCAGTCTAATTTATAAGTAAGATGAACTTGTACTTTGTTGCAGCTATAGTTTGATTCAGTTTACCACTGGGTTCAAATACTTCGGGGAAGAATTACGACTTTCTTCTCAACAGGATTTGGGATCTAAGCACTGACATGATTTCAGAGATCTGTTTTGCCGGCTGAGTTGCCAGCTTTTTAGGTTGCTGGGAGGTTCTCTTTGTTCTTTAGTCCTGCTTCTTGCCTTTTTGTGTCTCAGGAGACCTCTTACCCTTGCCTCAGAAGGGCAGCTGTTTTACATTCTGTGGAGGCCTGGAATACCTTGGAGGGCTTTTTCTCAGCTCTCCTTGCCTCTCCACGGCCTTTGGTAGCTGAAAGCTTGGAGTACCTCAGATGGATTTCTGTCTGCTCACTTGCCAACCCTCCTTTGGAAGATAACTGCCTTGTACTTCAGGGAGGCCTACTTCAAATGGGATCTTTCAGTTCTTCTGACCTGTCTTCAGCTTTCAATGTGCTACCTGTGTATTTAGAAAAGATGGGTTCCATGTCTGGGGCTCTTTGTAATTCTTATTTCAGCACTTTAGACTAATGAGCTTTGCCTTCACCATTCCATGGAATTTTAATCTGTCATGCTAGCCTGTATTTGGCATTAAAAATTTCTTAAATTTTTAATTAAAGAGTCTGGCTTGTTTCTTCTTACCCTGTCAATAGTACATTTTCTCCTGGTGCTGCTGTACTGATGGGCCTCTCTCTTTCTCCTCTTAAAGGGCTATCACTTTCTGAAATTTAATTCATTATGTGTTTGTGTGTCCTCTGCTCTGTGACATTTCTTTTTTTTTTTCCTTTGTTTTTTTGAGACAGAGTCTCACTCTGTTGCTGCAACCGCCTCTTCTCGGGTTCAAGTGATTCTCCTGCCTCAGACTCCCTAGTAGCTGAGATTACAGGCATGCACCACCATGCCTGGCTAATTTTTATATTTTTAGTAGAGATCGGGTTTCACCATGTTGGCCAAGGCTGGTCTCGAACTCCTGACCTCAATTGATCAACCCGCCTTGGCATCCCAAAGTACTGGGATTACAGGTGTGAGCCTTGGTGCCTGGCCCTAAATCCCTGTATTTATCATCTTTACTTTGAAATAGTAAAACATGCAAATGATGAAAAATTTAAAAACTACCAAAATTTAGCAAAAAGCAAATCTTCTTCATACCATTGGCTCCCAGCAGTCCCTCGTTTTTAGTTATTGATTTGGTAGTGTCTTCCTTTTATCACCATAGTTCCC